TCAGCGTGTACATCGGCAGGCTCGAGATGTGGAGAGGGGTCGACCACTGCGACCGGTTTCAATCCGGGGAAGAGCAGTTCCAGCAATCAGGTAAGACAAAAACAGAATCCCAAAAATCAAGTGAACGAGTTTCGTGACAGGGTGAGAACGCGGCGAAATCCGAAAACGCGGTGGAATAAAAAAAAATCGGGGCTTTTATTTTTTTGGACGGCTTTTGTGAACTGTTGCTCGGGTTTAGGGAAGCGGGCGGGCGAGCGGGCGGGCGGGTCGATCGGTAAAATTGGTTGGGTTCAGGGAAGGAGGAGGGCGAGTCGGCCGATTGGCCGGTCGCACAGTCAATCATCCAATCAGTGGCCTTTGGCGGGTTCACGCGAGAACAGAGCGGGCGCAAACCGCACTCGCGAGAGGCATCTGAGGCGCGAAAAAGCGCGCAACAGCGGCCTCTCGTGGATTCGCGAAAACAAAAACTGCAGCCGTACGTACCCGCCAGGACGTATTCCGCTGTCTCCAGAAACGTCCGCGGGACTACGTTTCCACAATGAGCCCGGGTTGAAGATAACATCCAGATTTTTTACACAAGGCTTCACATAAAAACCCAAACTAAGCAAGCCAGTGGCGACAATGGTGAGGAAAAAACTTCACCAATTGACGAAAGTGAAGAATTAAAAAACCTCGAGAGAAAACAGGCTCAGCTGAGCCAACACAATCTCACGGTAATTCGTTACTTTTTGATTTAGTGGCTAATTCGTATGAATTCATACAATCTAATTTGTACAATTTAGTACAATTTGCTCATCCCCCAATGACGGTTGGGATTAGGGGTGGGGTTAGGTGCCACGCCTCCTTTTTTAAAATCGTACAATTTCATATGACTGAACTCAAATTCGTACAAATTAGCCACTAAACTGGCAAAACGTAAAATACTTATGTTTTCTCATGAGATCAGGCTGGCTGGGCACTTTGGCCAAACGTCTTGTGCAGAGCTGCAGTCTAGGCGCCAGAGGCTGGAGAAGCTGGATGTCAGCGAGACGTCACAGTAATCAGTCTCATGCTCTCCACCCCTCTATGACCACCACAGCAGCTGCTCAGGATACGGCCTGGTCCAAGATTATGAAAACCTTGGGATCATCTCGTCGCTGGTCTTGGATCGCATCAGTGGCGCTGCATAGTCTCTGGGGGCCATGGGATGAGCATCCCCAGGTGGAAATAGAGAATTAAGAGAATAATTAGCGTAGCTGCTGTTCATAATGTAAATAAACGAGATCCAGAAACCTGTGTGGAGCACATTCATGTATCACACCGCACTGTGATGCACTCAGTGTATGCTTTACTAAAAAGATAGGTCTTTAATTCTAGTCTAGAATTACCTAAGTGATCTATTTGCATCACTTCTGGGACTGGATTAAAATGGAAATAATCTCTGAGTTATAAACCAGTATAGCAACATGTTAAATATGTGTAATTACAAACCTATTTAATTTGAACATTTACAACACAGTAGACACATTATGTGAAAGTAATGGTGTAAAAGAGTGGATAATTGAATGTAAAAAAATGTCAAAAATTTCAAGTACGATTACCTCACAGCAAGAAGTTCTCTGGTTCGAGTCTCGGCTGGGTCAGTTGGCGTTTCTGTGTGGAGTTTGCATGTTCTCCCCGTGTTAGCGTGGGTTTCCTCCGGGTGCTTCGGTTTCCCCCACAGTCCAAACACATGCGCTATAGGGGAACTGGGTGAGCTAAATTGTCCGTAGTGTGTATTTGATTGAGTGTGTGGATGTTTGGATGATGGGTTGCAGCTGGAAAGGCATCCACTGCGTAAAACATATGCTGGATAAGTTGACGGTTCATTTCGCGGTGGCGATACCAGTTTAATAACGCAATCATTAATTTTCATGAGTGTGTGCATGTCATGTATTTCATTTTCTCACATACATTTTAAGCAAATAAATAAACAAAAAATAAACAAATCAATCAGTCGATTAATAACATAAGTTTCAAATACATTATAAACAGATCAATCAATCAATCAACCAACAAGTAAACAAACAAACAAACAAACAAATTTAAAAAATAACAAACGTTAATGTGCATGTATTTTTATTTCTTTTTATTTCTTTTTTTTCCTTGAAAATAAGCATTTTTATGTTATTTTATTTATTTATTTATTTTTTGGGGAGGGGGTTATACAACATTTATAAGATATTTAACAATAAAAAGCAGCAGAACTTGCTAGAGTGGCCGCATTTGAAAAAATGTCTTATAAGCAAATGGACAAGCTAAACCTATACTTTAAAAAATGGTCCAAGTACTTAAACTGTTTGGAAATGGAACAGTAATAAATGTATGAGAAATATACTGATGTCAACAGTGTAAATTTGATATGTCATTGACTAAACTTACCCATTCATTTGTTTCATTTAATTTCTATTGTATTTTATTTAAATTTTTTCTTCATTATATAAGATTATATATTAATTATATTTACTGATAGCCAAGCCAGAACCTTAAAGTAGAAGTAGGGATTAGTTTGGGATGGGTTAATAATAGGGCAAAAACAAAAAACAAAACAAAATGTTGATTCTTTTCAGAGTTGTATTTTGTATTCCATGCTGAAACCTGCCTGCAGAATCAGTAAAAACTGTTAATCACTAACAATAAAAAGAAGAAAAAATTGTACAGAACAATTGACAATAACTACCCCCCCCCCATTTCCCCACACCCCACAACATCTTTTCTCTGCAAGACGTAGTTATTCCATTTGAATATCCTGAGCTGCTGCTGCGCTGATAATCGTGGGGAGTGGAGAACATGAGTCTGATTCCAGCGACGCTCCAGGGACAGACGAGTCTTCGCTGAGGCCATCTTCCAGCCTCCACCACCGTGACTGAAGCTCTGCACAAGACTTTTGGCCAGCGGAGAAATTAAAATGGTCGTGCCCAACTGAGTCTGGTTCTCTCAAGGTTTTTTTTCTTCACTCCCATCAGGTGAAGTTTTTTTTTCCCTCTCCGCTGTCGCCTCTGCCTCGCATGGTTCAGGATTGGTAGAGCTACGCATCGATGAATTTGCTCTTCAGTGTTTGAACTCTCAGTAATGATTAAATCACACTGAACTGAGCTAAACTGAACTGAACTTAAACACTAAAAACTGAACTACACTGTTCCAGTTACTATGACCATTTATGTGAAGCTGCTTTGACACAATCTACATTGTAAAAGCGCTATACAAATAAAGCTGAATTGAATTGAATGACATAAACCAACTCGTTTGACCACCTCTGATAACAGGGAGCCTTTGGAGATTTCCAATAAAATAATCATCTTTTTAGCTGTAGTCATGCCAACTATCAGGGCTCGCTGTGTTAATAGAAAGGTGTCCATTATATTACAATACCCAGAAATAGCCAAACTGTAGTCAGGTTGAATATTTAAGCGCTGGAAAACTATTATTTTCTTTTATAACATACATTTTAAATAAATAAAGTTTGCAATTAACGTGCATGTATTTTCTTTTCTCACATACATTATAAATAAGTAAATGAATAAATAAATGGATAAATAAATAAATAACTTTATAAAAATTGCAATCAATATGCATGTATCTCACATGCATTAAAAACAAAGATAAATAAATAAACAACAAAAGTTTACAATCATTGTGAACATAAGGTCTTTTCGCACATATATTTTAAGCAAATATATAAACAAATCAATTAACTAATAACGAGTTTACAATCAATATGCATATTTTTTGTCTCACATACATTACAGAACAAAGATAAATAAATAAATAAACAAATCAATCAATCAGTTAATAACAAGTTTACAATCAATGTGCGTGTATTTTCTTTTCTGACATACATTATAAATAAATGCATAAATAAATAATCTAATACATTTGCTTCCAAATATTTCACATACATAAAACAATTAATTAATTGTAAAAGTTTACAATCAATCTGCGTGTATTTTCTTTTCTCACATATTTTTAAATGAATAAATTAATAAAATAAATAAATTTACGTAAATAAACAAACAAACAAACAAATAAATACCAAAAGTTTACTATCAATGTGCGTGTATTATCTCTCGCTTATTTTTTAAATAAATGAATAAATAAACAAATACCAAAAATTTACAATCACTGTAAAAATATTTTCTTTTCTCTCATACATCATAAATAAGTGTATAAATAAATAACCTAATTACATTTTCTTACAAATATTTCCCATGCATTAAAAAAAAATAAAAATAAAAAAATAAAAAAATTGTAAAAGTTTACAATCAATGTGCATGTATTTTCTTTTCTCACATACATTATAAATAAATAAATAAATAAATAAGTAATGAACCAAATTAAATTGTTTACAAATATTTCACAAACATTAAAAATAATTAATTAATTAATTGTAAAAGTTTACAATCAATGTGCTTGTATTTTCATTTCTTACATATTTTAAATATATAAATAAAATAAATTAAATAATTAATAAAATAAATAAATAACAGTTAATATACATAAATAAACAAACAAACATGTAAATACCAAAAGTTTACAATCAATGCGTGTATTATCTCTCGCATACTTTTTAAATAAATGAATAAATACTCAAAGTTTACAGTCAATGTGCAAGTATTTTTTTTCTCACATACATTATAAATAAATAAATAAATAAATAAGTAAATAAAGTTTAAATATATAAACAAAAACAAACAATTAAATGGCTAAAGTTTACTATTAATGTGCTTGTATGATATTTTCTCGCACACATTTTAATAATAAATAAATAAATAAATAAAAATAAGCAAACAAACAAACAAGCAAACAAACACCAAAGGTTTATAATCAACATGCATGCATTTCTTTTCTCCCACACTCTCGTATGCATGCATGTTAAAGCGCGTGTAATAAACAGCGCAGAGTGACGCATTAACAGCCTCTATATGGCCGTTATAAACAATGCAGCGTGTAAAAAGAGGAAGCACATGCTATCTCCACTTCTCTGTCATGCACAAAGCATCAAATCTACAGCCGCATGAATGAAACAGCATGCAACTCCATGCACGATCAAATAAGCATGCCTCTGAGCGCCAACAGAAACGAAACGCATGCAATTTAGGGCATGCAATTAGATATAAGTGTGATGTGGCACGCAGGTAATCCACTTTTGTCATGGACTTGAGCTCTTTTTGTCCCCGGATTGAACTGTCATGGCTGCCGTACACTGTTGACTGATCCTGACTGGACTGCTGGAGGCGGAAAAGCAGTGTAAGTTCGATACTTTACATGCATTTAAATGCGATTTCACGCATGCATCGGGTTAACCTTGACTTTTTGGAGGGGATTAAAAGCTTGAGGAGATGTAATTTCGCACGCGCGTAAAGGCACGAAAATGCACTCATGTTTGTTGCTCAACTTTACTTTACGCAGGATTTAAGGCTTGCTAAGGTAAAGTTGAACTCTATCGAACATGATTTGCGTTGGATTTCATGTTGTGTTGCATAGAGTCGGACTTAAAACTTTATAACACGGTCATTGCATTGTGACATGATGAGTTCAGCTGAAGCACAGGTGCGAACTGATCGCGTTTGAACTTCTCACCGCGCAAAACGCAGCTACTTTTATTATTACTCTTGATTAATGTCAGCTTGTTGAGTCAATATGTGTCCATAAATATACATTTAGTTAAACCATGCTTGCAAAAAAGCACAAATGTCTTTGTCATTGTACTTGGGTGTGCACCTTGAAGCTAAAAAATTGCATTTTTTAAAATTTTAAACAGCAACTTCTACATTTATTGAATGTTTTAGAGCTATTTATAAGAATGCACAAGATCCACCCAACAGAAAGCTAGGTTAATCAGATAGGAAAACTATGCTTACATAACACTACAGTGATGTTTATCTTATTATACTTTGTGGAGCTAACATATAGTCTGTTTTTATTCATCATTTATTGAATATTTTAGATTTAAACTTCAGATTCACCCAATAGAAAGGTAGATTATTATTAAAACATTAACAGTGGAATAATAAAGATGGCATCTTTTTATTTTAAAGAGTGCCATGATATTACCATGGTACGTGGATTGCTACTATTAATTGGTGTAATTTAATTGTTACGTACATACTACAGATATTAGGAAGAATAACCCCAAATATGTGATTAAACTGAATAAAGACATTAAAAACCAAAGATATTAGTGTAAACATATCAATTTGTGGTGGGATTCAGTGTTTAAAAATCATGGTGATACCATACTTAACAGCAGCACACACTTATATTTCAATCAGAGGGAATTGTAATAAAGACATTGTAGAAAAGGTTCAGTTGTCCCACATTATATATATATATATATATATATATATATATATATATATATATATATATATATATATATATATATATATATATTGTAGTAGATTATAATAAAAAAATAACAGTGGAATAATTCAAATTGTCTTTTTTATTTTTTTTAAAGAATACCATGGTGTTACCATGGTACATGTGCAGATACTGCTTGCTACTATTAATTTATAAAGTAGTCATTTAATAGTGATACATACTACATATACTAAGAACTAGCTTTAAATGGGTAAACAAACTGTGAAATAAAATAAAAAAATATTAGTACAAACATCATGTTTAAAAATCATGGTAATACTATAGTAGCACACAACACGCTTATAATTCAGTCATTGAGAATTGTAAAAAAGACATTGTAGAAAAGGTTCAGTTGTCCCACATAAATCAAATATATTGTAGTAGATAATATTATAAACAATAACAGTGGAATAATAAAGATTGCATGTTTTTTAGGAATACTATCTTAGTACCATGGTACATGATAATTTTTTTCTACTAATAATCGTAGTGGTATAATTACAGACATACTACATGTAAGAATTAATCTTAAATAAACTGTGAATAAAGACAATAAAAATAAGCAGATATTGCTTGCTGCTATTAATCTATAAAGTAGTCATTTAATAGTTATACATACTACATATACTAAGAACTAGCTTTAAAATGGGTAAATAAACTGTGAAATAAAGAAAAATTATATATATATATATATATATATATATATATATATATATATATATATATATATATATATATATATATATATTAGTGAAAACAGTTTTGTATCATGATTTAGTGTTAAACAAATCATGGCAATTCCACAGTACTGAATAGCACACGTGTATTATTTAGTCATTGTTTTTTTATTTATTTATTTTTTTTTTTATTGAAAGAAAAACAAGGTGAATTATTACATACAAGGGTTTGACAAGACTTTTTTTTTTTTTTTTTGATACATTCAACCCCCCCCCATAAACAACCTCCCCTTCAAAAAGAGAAAAAAAAATTAATAAATGGACAAATAATAAAAAAATTATAATATATATAAAAAGATATAATAATAATAATAATAACAATAATAACAATAATAATAATAATAATAAAAATAACAAAAATTAATTAATTAATTAATACTAAATTAAATATTTACATAGTAACAGAGTTTTTATAGTACAATGAGCAAGTATTAAACAGTAATGTTTGCCCATCGAGATTGATTGCATTATCCTTATAAGGATAGTCTATTAATTTTAGTTTTGGGGAAGTGTTTGGCCTTTTTAAAGTATGAGATCATTGGATTGCATACTGTATAAAAAGATTTAGTGAATCCTCTAAGAGAGTATTTAATTTTCTCCAATCTTAAAAACAGCATCATATCACTAAACCAGAGTGAAACTAAAGGTGATTTACTTGATTTCCAATCAAGCAATATTCTTCTCCGAGCCTTAAGACACGCGAAGGCATAAGCGTCTTGATAATTATTGGACATGACTATATCTTGTTCAAGTACTCCAAATATTCAGTCATTGTTAACTGTAATAAAGTCATTGTAGGACAGATTTAGTTGTCTAATATAAATGTATATGCATATATATATATATATATATGTGTGTGTGTGTGTGTGTGTGTGTGTGTGTGTGTGTGTGTGTGTGTGTGTGTGTGTGTGTGTGTGTGTGTGTGTGTGTGTGTGTGTGTATGTATGTATGTATGTATATATATATATATATATATATATATATATTAGGGATGTAACGGTATTGTAAATACCGTCGTACCGCAATAAAATTTTTTTCCGATATTACCGTGGTCGGATGACTCGGTAAAACTTAAGATCTGTTGAGAAAAATTCTCAGGCGAATGGAGCGTACGGGCCAGCTGGAACTACAGTTCCCATCAGCCCATGCGTGCCCAACATCCTTTGCGGTCTGTTGTCACTACAGTAATGCGGAAATGGAGGGTGCTGGAAGTAGCGGCGAAGGAGAGCTGAAAATGGTTGAAAGAAAAGCGTGTTTTAAATCTGATGTGTGGAAGCATTTTGGTTTCTCTCTGAAGAGAAACGAGAAAGGAGAAAATGTGACTGACAAAGAAAAAACGATATGCAGGCACTGCCAGACTGTGATAAAATACAAGTTGGGGAATACGAGTAACATGAGGAGCCATTTGTTTAATCATCACCCCGAAAAGGTACGTGAAGATATGGGGAGCAAAATCAAGCCGGGTCAAAAGACTATAAAAGAAGTGTTTACAGCCTCTCTCCCTCAAAACAGTGTGAGAGCACAAAGAATCACGAGATGCATTGGTGAATATATAGCCAAAGACCTACGGCCCTTTTCGGTAGTGGACAATGAAGGTTTTAAGAGGCTAGTAAACATGCTGGAGCCAAAGTATAAAATCCCATCGCGGCCACACTTTAGTCAAACTGTTTTACCAGCTCTTTACAAAGAGACAAGGGAGAAAGTTGCACAGAGCCTCAAACAAGCAGAGTGCATTTCAATCACAACAGACGGGTGGACTTCACGAGCCACTCAGAGCTATGTTACCATCACAGCACATGCTATGACAAGTGAATGGGAGATAAAAGCTTTTGTCCTACAGACACGTGTACTCTTTGAGTCACACACTGGACACAACATAGGCGAGGTGTTAAAAGCTGCTGTTTCAGAGTGGGAGCTTGACATGATTTACAACAACAATCACCAGGGCATCGCTGTGGTTACTGACAATGCAAGAAACATGGGTGTGGCAGTGAAAGAGGCTGGTCTGTCCCCACATGTAAAGTGTTTTGCTCACACCTTAAACCTTGCATCCCAGGCAGGTTTGAAGGTAAACCGTGTCAGTCGTCTGCTTGGCAGAGTGAGGCGTGTAGCAGCGTTTTTTCACCGCAGTTCAACTGCAACAGCTGTGCTGACCTCCAAGCAGCAAATGTTAAACCTGCCAGTACATAAACTGATAATGGATGTAGTAACTAGGTGGAACAGCTCACTTGACATGATTGAGCGCTACCTGGAGCAACAACAGGCAATTGCTGCAGCCCTACTAAGTTCTGAAGTTAGACACAATGCACGTGAAATAGACACTGTAGATCCAGCTGACATCGCAGATGCTGAGGACATAGTTAAACTTCTCACACCCTTGAAAAAAGCAACCACTGTGCTGTGTGATGAGTCTCGACCAACAGTCTCTCTTATCATGCCTCTTAAACACATGATACAAGCGAGCATGGCACCATGCAATGCAGACTCAAACACCGTCTCTCAAATGAAGGCAGCAATACTGAATGATTTGGCAGACCGTTACCAAGGGGAGCAAGCAGAGTTTCTGTATGAGAGCAGTGCGTTGGACCCCCGGTTCCGGGCACTACCCCATCTGAATAACAGCGAAAGGGATGACATTTTCATCAGGCTCAAGTTAAAAGCAGCACAGATGCAGAACCAGGTATTTGTTTGAAAATACTTTGTGTGTGTGACTTTTTTTTTTTAAGAGTTCCCAATATTTAATAATTATGTTTGCGTGTCTAACATTTACATTTTTTTAAACTCTGCTTGCTTCTGCAGAACCCCAGAGAAGAGGAAGGTGCAGCATCAGGCAGCCATAAAGATGTGGCTGGGCAGTTAAAAACTTACCTGCCACAAAAAGCACATGCTGTGGGAGGTGTTTCTCCTCCATCCAAAAAGACTGCTCTTGAAGATCTTTTTGGTGATTCTTTTAGTCATAGGGACTGCAGAACACCGCACACTGCTCAGATTGATGCAGACATTGAGATGTATCGCAAAGAGACCTCTATCTCTCTCACGGTTTGTCCTCTCAAGTGGTGGAAAGAAAACGCACAACGTTACCCACTGCTGTCAACCTTGGCCATGTCCTATCTATCTGTCCCAGCAACCTCAGTCCCAAGTGAGAGG